AGCAGAGAACTGGGGAGACTGCTTCCTTCTCCCCCAGCCTTGCAAGAGTGTGACACCCAAGGGAGGGAGAAAGTGGGAGTAGCTTTAACGAGGAAGGAAAAACAAGCCAATTCTCTTGGGCTGTGTGGGAAGAAGGGGGCCTGGGGGACCGTCTTGGCTTGAGAAGCGGCAGCTCCTGACACTGATAAATGATTCAATTGAATAAGTAAATGAAGAACCTCTGACTAACACCAGAGCCACGTTATACTATATGTCAGTGCAAGGAATTTTGTAGGTGGCAAATCTTTCTTGGATCTTGTTCAAAGAGATGTATGAGTAGGCAGTGCAGACAGCTTAATTATAATAGACTCAGGTGCCCTCGTGTTGCCATAAGCATTGAGGAAAGTGTGACCGGGAAATAGAATGATCATTTTATCTTATCTTGTAGAGAGTGACATAAAGAAATAGAAGGGAAAATACACACGTGTTGTCTCAAGGTTGTGGAATTTTGAATCTCTTTTCTTGACACGCACAAGCACAATACATAATTCAAGCCTGAGTTAATAATGAAATGGTAATTTCCAGAGGAATTTGGAATGAACTTCAGATTCAGTGAAATCTGAGCAGGGCTATAAGAATTTATTTCTAATTTAGAACTTCTTTGTGATTCACGTAGAATAATGATGTTAAGAAAATTTTAATTATGCCTTAGGTTTTGTGGAGAACTACTCTATGGCATATTGTAGGAGAAAAATTTCTCTCCAGAGCCTTTGCCGTCTTGATTTAGGCAGAATTTTAGATGAAATTCAGTATGGTTTTTACCAAATGATTTATGAACCTTAATACTCATGGGGGAGATTAAGAATTTTAATAGTTGGAAAAGGAGCAAGTCATTTAAATTAGCTTCCAGTTTACCTGCTTAAATTGAACTCATCTATTTAAGCCATTATTGTATAGTTTGAACTTTTTCCCACTCTTATAATATCTAAAAAGTCTCTTTTGGGGTTCTTCTTTCATTTTTTAAAAATGTTTATTGTTTCCCTTGGGTAAGATGAACACAGTGTATGGATTGGAGCCTAAATTATTTTGTTCTCTTTCTTGTTCTGAAAGAAAAGAATGACTTAATTGTGGTCTTAATCTGACAGGCTTTACTCCCTAAATACTTGGGACAAGAATGCCCTTACCCACTGTTCTTTTGCTATTTCCATATGCTCTGAACAATCGTGGTGACTCATAACCATCAGTTACCGTGGCAGGCTTTGTATTACTTTCTGAGGGGAAAGCATCCTTCTGGGTGAAAAGTGAGCCTTTCCTAAGCTCGGTGCCTCTCACTTTTCCAGGGAAAGACCACAAACGGTAGTAGAGCGGAGCCCTGGAACAGACAACTGAAAGCAGGAGATGTCTGTGAAGTTCTGTGTTTCATCTCCATGCAGTTTTTCATTCTACATCATTATAGGTGGCTTTGTTGTTGTTAGCACCATCAAGTCAGTTCTGACTCCTAGGGACCCTGTGTGCAGCAGAGTGGAACCTGCCTGGTCTTTCTGCACTATCCTCTCACCTTCTGGTCCTGTATCAGACAAGCTCTGCTGCTATTCATGGGGTTTTCATTGCCAACTTTTTCAGAAGTGGATGTCCAGGTCCTTTTTCCTAGTCTGTCTTAGTTGTAGAAGCTTTGCTGAAATGTATCCACCATGAGTGACCCTGGCGGTATTTGAAATACTGGTGGCATAGCTTTCAGCATCACAGCAACACACAGCCACCACAGTATGACAACCTACATACAGGTGGTGTTTCCCGGTTCCCTGGGAAACAATCCTGGACCCGGTGGTGACAGCACCGAATCTTAACCACCCTCGCTGGCTAACAGGTGGCTTAGTGGTGTAAAAGAATGCCTTCTCCTCCATTTGCTCCTTTCCAACCTTAATAAATTGATGTTCCAGAGACATGTTTTAGGTTTATTTTGTGGCTTTATATGCTCTAGACATTAAGTACCCCCAAGGTCTACACTTAACGATTTGAGAAATGTGGCCTTAGGGATTCAGACCCTCCTAAGTGTACCTTGTAGGCTTTAGATTGTTCTGGGTCTAGATCTGTTGGGTAAATCGCGTCTGATTTAGATATTATTCTCTCTAAGTTATCTGCCGTCTGTTGGGAAAATGATCCCAGGCCTTGCTGTCCTCTTTTAGTACCATTCTACATCTTTCTATCACTTGACCAGCACTCGGGCTTCCATTTGCTAAGCCATCCACTTTGTCCTAAATCTTTCCAATTTGATTTCCTTTCTGAAATGTTTCTGTAAATGTCTTTAATGCTTTTCTGCTAACTCCATCGGCTTTTTTTTTTCCTCCATTAAATCTCAGCCTTATCCATCTTTCAGCATCTCCACTGTTGATGGCGCACCATTTTTTCAGGTCGTGTAGGGCAGGTTATGCCGTGGAAGCAGTACCTTAATGGCTTTCAAGAGCAGAGGTTTATTTCTTGCTCGAGAAAATAAAAACGACAGCTGTGTTTCACGTTCCCTTCACTCCGTGTTCCTGTCTGGAACATTACAGAGCTCAGGATGGAGGGAATAGAAATGGGAGCCCTATGTGATGGTTTTTATATCTTCTGCTCACAAGTAGCACATGTCACTTCCACTCACGTTTGATTGGCTAAGTCAAGTCCCATGGCCAAGCCTTATGCTGATGGGGCAGGAAGCATGATCCTCTCCAAATGGATCTGTAAGGAGGCACAGAGTAGATTCGACCACAACAAAATCTCCCGGTGCCATATCTTTTCAGCTTTCTGTATACTCAGAATCTAACACAGTGCCTGTCACAGAATAGATATTAAGTAGAGGAAAGACCTACTTCTTTTCTTTCCCAAATTCTTTTCGTGGTGGCGTTGAGGACCTCGGTCTGACTCCACCTGTTTCTTATCTGGGTCCCCTTTCCGACTCGACCTCTATCCAGGTGTTTATCATCAGTGTTTTCTCTTCATTCTCCCCATCCTTTCCCTAGAAATAGTGTTCTATTATACTTTGATGTTTTGGAAATCCATCCTGGTTTAGTTTTTTATCCATCTTGTGGAAATTTGTATATTTCTGAATGATCTAACAAGACAAGCAACACCTAGAGTTTTGATTTTAATTCACGTTGAGACACGAGGAAGGGAGTCAGTTGTTGGGAACTTTGATGATTTCTGTTTTTTCCTTCTGAACAGAACTGTTCTGCTTGATGTTTGTATGTACAGCAAATGAATTAACCCTCAACTTGTATCTGGTAGTACCTGGGCTTAGAGAGCAGACAAAAACAGCTGGAGCTTAATGCAGATGAAGAAAACCTCACGTGAGCTTTACATAGATTTCATCGGAATAATGTCCCTACACTGGCACTATACCTATAAGAGGATATTCGCATCCAGAATCCCTTTTGGGGTCCAGCATAGTCTTAACACTTCTTTTCAGAGTTTCTTTCTATTAATCACTATCTGTCTTTAAATATTATGGGCTTTTTGTCTTTGCTTTTGTACCCCCAAACACTTTGAATGGCTGTTACAGAGCTAAATGTAATCTGCTTTGCAATTTTGCAGTTTTTTATTTAGGTATTTTAGTTCCCCTATTAGATAGTAATTTTCTGAAGGAAGTAGGTTTATTTCTTTCACCCTTTCTCCATTTTTTGGTAAACACTAGCAGTTGCATGTTGAGTTGAATATGACTATTATTGTTGCTGTATTATTAACAGTCAAGTTAGAATTATAATATAGATGCTATATTATTAATTATCAAGGTGGAGTCATTCTGTATTGCTAGCTGTCTGCAGTTCTGTTAAATGATTATGCAATTAAAATGCATATAATGTTTATATTTTCCTTCGCAGTGTCATAGCACACACTGTGTGTGCCCAACCATGTGCCCCCAGCATCTAACCTTTTCTGAGCCCACTGGACTTAGTTACAACTGCCAGCAAGGGCAGCTCTTTGCCTGAGGGCTTTCTCTGGTTACTGGAGAGTTCTCTGCCATTGTGTGGACATACTAGGGGAATGAATGTCCCCGAGGAGCAGCCCTCAACCATTGACTGACCCCAGGAGTTGATGGATAAATGCTCCAGCCCCCTTGCCCCTGGTTAGGATATCTATAGGGTGTTTGATACTATCTCCCAGGATTTCCCAGAGGGACTAAGGCCAGGTTGCCCCCTGTGGTGACTTGCTTGATAATACACCCTGCATTGGCTCTCTTCCCTTCCGGGCCTCACTTCTCCACACCCTCATTGACATTTCCTGGATTAACTTCAGATTAAACTACTTGCAATCTAATCTCAGATTAGAGTCTCAGAGTTTCTAAGAGTAATCCAAACCAAAACGAGGATTCATAGGTCAAAATTTACATTTTAACAGTTTCTCTATTTCAGTAATGTCCAATACAAATAGAATGCAAACCACATAGCGTAATTTAAATTTTTCTAGTGCCTACATTTAAAAAAGTGAAAATAAACAGGTGAAATAAATTTTAATAATTTGGTTATTTAACTCAATATATCCAAAATATTATCATTTTAACATGCAATCGATATAAAATACATTAATGAGGTATTTTATTTTTTGGTACTAAGTCTCTGAAATCTGGTGTGAATTTTACACTTATGGTACATCTCCATTTGGACTAGTCACATTGCAAGTGCTCAAAAGCCACATGTGACTAGTGGCTACTATATTGGACAGTGGTGACCAATTCTCTACCGTTATAGCCCATGTATCAAAATTTAGAGATTTGCTAGCTGTTGAATATGTAGGAGGCTTTTTGGTGGGTCATAGTTTCCATTCTTAGCAAAATCTTACTTGCCTTCTCCTTTTCTTTTAAGCTGAATAAAATCTTTGTAAATATCTAGACTGGCGGGCACCTTGTTTAGTTTGTGTTCACATATTTATGTTCTTTCAGGAATGCGCCTCTGGCAATAATAACTCTGAGACTTATTGCTTCATACATGTTTGCATGCAAAATATAGACAAGATGCTTACCATCTCTGTGTTTGTGTGTTTTTCAGGCAGAGGGTACCAGACTTCAGCGAGAACTCCGAGGATATTTAGCAGCTATCAAAGGTAATGTGTGTGAGTTGTTTGCTGCATGTTGCCAAGCACGGGTTGTTCTTGGAATTCATGAGTGACGGGATCGAGTGTTAATTACAAAGCCATTTGGCTTTCTGGCAAGATGGGTACTTGAGCACAGGTGTTCATTTCCACCCACCCCTCAGTTCCCATTGAAATGATAATCAGAATATACAAGGAGAAAGTATGTCTGTCCTCATGCTGGAAACTGGGAATAAATGCTTCCCATGTGCCAGAGATTTCTAGGAAGAGTTGTTCAATAGAGTGAGCTTGAGACCTTAATAAAAGCTGCAGCTGGCTTACACCCAAGGGAGAGCATATCCCGAGAGCAGAACACTCAGACTCACACACGCTTAAGCCCTCTTGCTGGAACGGGGAGGGGACGGCGGCAGAGGCAGGGCGAGGCTTGTCAGGAATCACGGCCCTGCCTGCCTGTGGCTTGCCAGGCCAGCTGCACTTGCAGTTCCGCCACTGCCTGAGGACAGAGAGGCCCTGGCACTGGTCTCTGGCCTCAGCCACGCAAGGAATAGAAATGAGCTAGTGGTGGAGGAGGGAGAGAGCAATAGGGAGGTGTGCTTCGCCTCTGCCTGCTGTACGTTATCCGGCACCCCGGAATGAGCTGGGTCCAAGGGCAGCCAGCGATGTGTTGGATCATTAGGCAGACTTTGAGATTAGTGGGGAGAGAATGGATTATCTGACAAGGGGTCTTGGATAAACAGGCTAAACGCTCAGAAAAATGTGAGATTCCCAGCCTTACACTTTACTCCCTCCTTCACAATGCTAAATATAGTAAAGCTTTAGATTTGTATACAAAGAGATGTTCAAAAGTGCTAGAATAAAATACAGTAGATTTAGTCTCTAGTCTTGAGAGACAAAGTCCTTACAAGGATAACCCTAAAGACAGAAACCATAAAGGGAAAGCTTGAGAGATTTGACCTCACAAATATATAAAACTGATATACAGATGTTTAAAAAGAAACATTATTTTGACAACATACTTAATGAAAGCAAACCAAGATATAAAGAGCTCGGTGTGTAAACTAGATGAAGATGAGTTGATTGAAAGAAAACCTCTGAAGAGGAAGTTAGCCAAGGAAGAACTATGGATGGGTAATAAATGTGAAAAATGCCACCCTCACGAGTAATCAAAGAATATTAGATAAAGTCGAAAGGGAGATTCTGTCATTTTTCTTTCACATGTTCAAAGACAGTAAAATTGTTTTAGAAAACACCGTAATAATTGGCAAAGCTGTGGGGAGCAAACCCCTTTCATATACCACTGGTCAGACAGCTTTCCTGGAGAACAATTTGGCAAAAGCCTTTAAACGCCTTGTTTTTTGGTTTATTTTGTTTTTGGCCTGCCTTTTGACGCAGAAGTTCCATTTCTAAGAATTTATTCTAACAGTTTCAATATGGATGTGTGAAATTGATTGTAAAGATAGTGATACATAATGAAGTAATGAAGATTTTAGTGATAAAAAATTCGTCATAATAATAAAAAAATTAGTGAAATCGATTTGTAAACTGAAATTTGTTTAAGCTTTTATATGCCAGGCATATAATTTTAATCCTCATGACAACTGCCTGAGGCAGGTACTTTTGTTATCTTTATTTTATTGATAAGAAAATCGAGGCACAGAGGTTAAATAGCTTGTCAAAGGTCATGAGCCTAGTAAACAGCAGGGTCAATGCTACTGTGGTCCTTGTGTCTCTTCAGGCCTTGCCTTATCCTCTGTCTTATACTGCCTTTAGCTATGTTACCTTCATTGGGCATTGGTTTCACAAATTAGAGTTCATCTATATTTTAAACTCTAATTTGTTCATCTATACAATGGAATAATGACAGTTTACTGCTGCTACTTTTTAGTGGGTACTTACCATGTGCTGGACTCTATTCTACGCATTCTGGGCATATTACCTCTTTGTAACCCCCAACACAGCTATATGATACGTGACATTAGCCTTATTTTGCATTTGCAAAGAAGTAAGCCTCAGAGAATTTAACTTCCGCAAATTCACTCATAATTAACTGCTGTAGTGAAATTAACCTAATGCATTTATAACTGTTCGGTCGGAAAATAGAAGGCACTCTAGGTATTTCTTTCATTATTGATTTAGGAGTTGAACACAAGAAGTTGTGTATTATTTCAAGCACGGGATTTTCTCTGTTAGCTGATTTTTTAAAAAATGTGGCTAACTTTGTTGAGTGAGCAAATTCAGTCTCTTTCCTAAGTCTGTATATTTTGGTCTTTTTTACCTTGTTAGTACGGAGAATGCTGTTTGGAAAGGCTGACATAATAATTTTCCTTAATGTGATCTAGAAGGTGATTCCACTGAGTGAGGAGTTAGCTCCCAGAGACACTGGATGGAGCATCAGAGCAGCCTTTCTCTCGGCCTGTGCCCTGCATTCCGCTTCTAATGGCCACATCTCCCTAGGAAGGAGAAAGGACCTTATATTAGCTTGTCCCCCCAATCACATTTTGCTAATTGAGTGATGTTGACAAATGGTACTCCATGAAAGAGATCTATGTCTAAATTACTTTGGCCAAGACTGGTTGAAATCAATTTTTAAACAGGTTACTAAAGTTTATCAGAACCCTTAAAATGCTAATATGATCTCCAGCAGGCCTGTGGGGTGGGCAGCGTCTGTCTCCCAGTTATTTGACTGTGGGATGCTTTTCTCATCTCAGTCTTACAAAGAATTAGCGCTCCTTGGAGCACATTTTGGGTTTTGCGAAAACACTTAAAGACAAGAGTCATGCCTTAAGTAAATCATAATTTGTGTATTCAAAGTACAGTTGTGAATTTCAAAGTGCAGAGTGCTTTCCTGGCCAATTTTTCTGGTTTTCACAAGAAGACCTCTAGCCAATTAACTGTCCTGTAATGCAGGCAGCATTATAGAGGGATGAGATCTGGGCCTGGAGAGTGAGGGGCCCTGGGTCTGGTTTGTGGGAAAATCACTCAGCCTCTCAGCTGCCTTGGGTTCCCTATCTAAGGTGCTGCAGTTGCTCTGAGAAGCCCCCCAAATCTCTGGAACTGGGATCCTGTGAAAGTGGGTTAAATGAACTCTACCCTTCCTCTTATTATCGCTAATCCCTGGGTCGGGGCATTCGCCTCTGTAGGTCTTTATTATTTCTGCTGATGCTTGGGCTTTCCAAGGTGAATCTTATGCTCTCATTCATTTTGGCAGCAAACATCTCATTGAGCCTCATTTATGGGCCTGACACTGTTCTAGGTGCTGGAGATGCAGAGATGAACAAGATGCAGTGCCTGTGATCATGGAGCTTGCAGTAGAGACAGGGAGAAAGCTGAACAAACAGGAGACCAAATATGCATAGTAATACATATTTTAACATAAGTGAGCACTGTGTGTACTCACAACAGAGGATAGACTGGATCGGGAATGGTCCTTCCAAAGAACTTACACTTGAATGGACCCAGGAAGGGGATATACGTAGTCACCAGGTAATAAGATGTGCTAGAGAAAGAGGATGACATTGGAAGGACTCTCCAGGTAGAAGCAGCAACATATACAAAGACCCAGGAGGCAGGAGGAAGCCTGGGCTCTTTAGGGAACAAGTACATCATTTAGGTGCAAGCAGGAAACTGAGCTGGATGAGACGTGGAAAGGCAGGCAGCATTTGTATAAAGAAATGTGTATGCATCAATCATATTGGAGTTTTATTCTGTCAATGGAGAAAAGGAGTCATTACTTTATTGTAGGCAGCGGAATGAGTCGTGATTAGATTAGCATTTTAGAAAAATTATAATTGTGGTTGTGTGTAATTCAGGCTGGAGGAAATGAAACCTCAAGGAGACTTAGAAATCTAATCCAATAGTTTAATAATAATTATAGCCAACATTTATTGACCACTTATGTGCCAGGCCCTGACATAAGCTTTTTACTGCCTCATTTCATATAATTCTCACTACAGCGTATGGCATGTACTATTATTTATTAATAATGTACACTTTGGAAAACTGAGGTTGAGGATGGTTAGGTAATTTTCCTAAGATCACACAGATGATATGTGATGGACTAAGATTTTAACAAAGGCCAATTGTAATTATTATGCCATCCTTCCTCCAAAAATATTTTTCATAATAATGGTTGACATTTGAATGTTTGCTGTTTGTAAGTACTTTGCTGAACCATTTACGTGGGTTATTTCTTCTAATCTAAACGATAGATGATGAGGACCTAATCTAGGGCAGTGGCAGTGGGCGGGGAAGGAAAGGTCTTCATGTGAGAATCAGGCAGACCGGGTATGTCTTGGTGACAAGTTCTGTGTTAGGGGATGAATTTGGGATCACTTCCAGTTTTCTAACTGGGACAACTGGGTGACATTCATGAGGATGGGGAAAAGGAGTAGGGCAGGTTCGGATAGGAAAACTCTGAGTTTGTTTGGACTGTGAAGTTTCAGGTACTGGTAGGACATCCACGGGGAGATGTCCAGTGGGGATTTGGAATCAGGAGTCCTTGGCATGTGGGTGGCAGTGGAGGCTAGACACAGGGGTAACGAGAACACAAGCTCTAAGTGGAGCCTGCAGGTGCTGTAATTAATATTTGTTAGTTGTGTGTGACTTATGTGTAAGCAGGACCCCAGTGGCAGGGCTGACTGTTCTTGAGCTGACTCACTATCTGCCTGTTTTTTCCCAAATTCTTGCTCCTCTCCACCTCTCCTCCTTGAGACTCAGGGAGAAAGGCTTCCTTTTCTCTGAGGCAACTACTGTCTTTTTTCTTTTTTTTTTTTTTTCCCCTGAGGAAGATTAGCCCTGAGCTAACATCTGCTGCTAATCTTCCTCTTTTCTTGCTTCAGGAAGATTAGCCCTGAGCTAACATCTGTGCAATCTTTCTCCACTTTATATGTGAGATGCCACCACAGCATGGCTGACGAGTGGTGTAGGTTGGCACCCAGGATGGGAACCCATGAACCTGGGCTGCCAAAGTGGAATGTGCTGAACTTAACCACTATACCACAGGAAGGCCCCCAACTGCTTTCTTCTTAAACAACTCTCTTCTAAACAATGGCAAAGCAGCTAGATACGTACAGTATTTTAGATATTCTTTTAGTGGTTTATAGCTGCTGCTGGTTATTGTCATAATGTATTTTAACTGATGTTCTTTTTAACTAGACATATACCTTCAGGCTGTTCAAGCGAAGAGGACTCTTGTAGCAGTGCATTTATGCAACAAATCTTAGACAATGAAAATAGAAGCTCACAAATTTGGTTGCAAGTGGAAATAGAGCGTATTATAATAAATGCCGTGGAGAGGGTCCCAAATTTTGAAGAGAGAAATGTTTCCTATCCAGTAGTAAAATGATAATTCTTCTATATATGATGTTGGACACTTATCTTGTAGTTTTAGAAATTACTACTCTTTTAAGAAAAGATTAGATGTTAGAGATTATTAAATGCCATTTAGCATCTGTTCTGTTTTAATGTTGCCGAATTACTTTGAAGGGAACTTGGGTGTTATCTTTATTTTTCTTTTATGATTTATCAGCAGAATAAATTCCAAATCCCTAAAATCTCTACCAGTCTTTCTGCCCCTTAAGAGAAAGGCTTGTGTCTTGTTCACTTTTGTATCGAGCAGAGTACTTCCTATGGAGTGTTCTAGAACGAATTTCTATGTCAAAATGGATTTTCTCCAAATTGTTAGTCACTACTTATCCACACAGCAATTAGTAATTCTTTTTGACTGCTAATAGATATATTTACTGCAACATTGTGCTTTTAGCCTCAATGAGTAAGGTCTTATATATTTTGTTTTAAGCTTACATTCAGTTTTATTTTCACCACAAAGCTTATTTGTCCTACCATGCCATCATTTCTTTTTCTTCTTAAGACATGAAGAACCTATCAATCCAGCTGTTTATAATTTCCATCAGACTTAAGACAGAGATTTAAAAGAAAACTTCAGAAGCCTTTTGGCATCCGAATGATAGAATGATAACTAGTGACTCACTTTTGGTGTGAATTTGAGGGGCACATTTCTTTGTATAGATTTGCTTGTACTTAGGGATGGGTGAATATATGTACTTGAGAGAATGTTGCTGCTACCTCAGCGGTGCCCACATGTACAAGAGAGAGATTCTCCCTCATTTGGATTCAAAGTGGTGAATGCAGGAGGCAGATGCAGGGTTTTCATTATTTTTTGGCTGTGTTGTCACCTCTGTGACCATTTTGTCAGAGTCCCCAGAGACTTGAGTCATCACTGTCCTTTCCTACCCCAGCCTGCCGGGGCTGCATCTTGTGGTGGCCAAGTCATTACGGCCAGTGTGGGCCGTACAGCTCGTTGTAAAGGGCATCCTCTAATGCGCCCAGTGATATACTTCATGGAGAGAAACTTACAGGCTACCACACCTCATGTGGCCCAGAAACACGTTCAAACTTTGAATGTGCAAAGACCGTGTATGTATCTGCATCCTATGAGGGGAAGGAAAGTAGGGATGTTCTATGCTTGAGAGTGAAAAGTCCTGTGAAATACCAAATTATGTGTTGGTTTTTGTACATACTCTTCAAGGCTATACTTCTCTCATTTTAGACTTCTTATATTTTGTTCCTTTCTCTCACACTTGAACCTGGAAATGGCGACCTTAAATCCAGCAAGCACGTGATTGAGTCTAGAGTGTTACAGTTTAACAGGAACGTTCTGTCTTTGATTCACTGGCACTAAGTTTGTGAGATGTGTTTTATTTCTAATGACAGCACTCTGCTGTTTCACTCCCCTCCCTTTATCTAGCTCCTTTTCCTATTTGCTAGTGACAAAGACCAAGAAACCAAACTGGCCAGGTCTCACGTTCCAGCTGGTAGGGAGAGTCTGGTGCTGGACAGTTGCTCCTCCAAGTCACCAGCCTGAGACTCCTCCTCGTTTGGTCTCAGCCCTGAGCTGAGGTCTCCATGGCAATCCCCATGTTACCCTCCGTGTTTGAAGGGGAGGCGGAGGGGAGACTGGAAAAGACTTGGTGATACTTCAGTGACCATGTTGTACTTGAAACTTCACCTCTTTCCTCTTATTAATAACCACATTTTTGCAGCGTACCAAATGCACCTCTTATGAAAATTCTGATCCATAGGCTTAAGAACTCTAAACTTTCTGAGAGTTGTGATTTAAAACTGTATCTATAGCTTTTAATAATATTGGAAAAAAGGAAAACGTTTTTCTTTGAAAATTTTTAGGCCACTTAAACCGCTTTTAACTGTTATGCCCTAAAACCCGGTTGATTTTGCTTCTACCTGCTTCTAAAAATATGCTTTGTTTCTTGTATTTAAAGTTGTTAAGGATGAATATTATTTTTAGAACTCTGTAGTTTTATGGACTGGTCTTCAGGTGTCCTATACATTTCCATTTCCATGCCATTTAGTAAGTGACAGCATACATCATAGGACACATTATTATTGTTGTTTTCAGAATAGGACAACTCGTTGATTTTTTTTTTGAAGACCTGGTATCTGTCATTATCATGTAAATAATAGAAAATGCACAGTGTAATCAGATGAGTTTTAGAGACCTCATGGGAAGACGTGACGGCAGAGGCAAGTAGCAATCGTGCCTTCACAATTTTTCCTTAAGTAATTGGCGAGTACTCAAGATTTTTCTCTTACTTAGAAAAGTAGGAGGAGGAGGAAGAGACTCCCCACCCATTTCTGTCTAACGGGAGCTGCTTTTCTCCACTGCTAGGCATGCAAGAGGCCTCCATGAAGCTCACCGAGTCGCTGCACGAAGTCTACGAGCCGGATTGGTATGGGCGGGAAGATGTGAAAATGGTTGGCGAGGTAAGAGCCAGGATCGGAGCACGTGGGAGGCCTGGGCTGGCTTCTGTGAGGCTCCCAGAAGTCCTGTACACTCAGCCGATCCCCTGAACCCCTCCTGTCATTCAGGGCCTAATCGTGAGGGGACACCATGTCCCCAGAAGGCATCATGCAGTTCTGCCATCGGATTGTCCCAAACTCAGAGTGAACATGATTATAAAACCACTTGGGTGGAAGCTGTGGATTAAGAATAAGAGTAGCATTTTTCCTTGCCTTATTACCCATCTTAACGAGCTCATTTCAGCAGGAGAACTGGCTCACGGCGTGATTTTGTGTACTGACTTCACCCCTTTGCCCCTCCTTGCCCCATCCCTCCTTGAAAGCAGGAGCGGGAGCTGGGGAGAGCATCTATTTCACTTCAACACCAGCAGGGCCATTCGCTGGTGTGCAGGACCTGAGGACAGACGCAGCTGGTCTGCTAATAGGAATTTAACTTATGAGAGGCTTTGTCCCTAGACCTGTATCAACATCTGAGGTGCAACTTTTGGCCGAGGCCCATCTGGCTGGCTGGCAGGAAGTGGGTGTTGCTGCTTTGAAGTGGCAGAATGGGGTGGAGACCCAGAGCAGCTCTATGTGATGTTGGGCGAGCCCTTTAATCTTCTCGGGCTTTAGTTTCCTCATCTGCAAAATGAGAATAATAATTATACCTACTAATAACACATTTCAAGACTGCCTTCGCGTCGTCAACAGTGCACAGTTCATGTGATTATTACGGATATTAGGAAACCACCTGTCAGATTCTCTCACGTCCAAGTTCTTTGTTACAACAAAGAGCAATTGTTTGTCATGCCCCACTTCAGGTGAGCTCATTGCTACTCATTTAGGCACAGGAAACACAAGAGATGTGGCCGCCCCAGCTCAGGGGGAAGTCTGATATGTGATGAGCTGACCGTCTGTGCAGCCTTCGGAATCAGGTTAACCCTGAAGCCCCATGCTGCTCCAAGGAAATTCTGACATCCCCACATTAATCTTCATAATCCCATTGTGACTGAGATAACAACAGAGATTTGCTTTTGAGGAAAGCTCATCTTGGCCCTGTTACCTCTTTTGTAAACTTTCGGGATATGAATTTGGAAAAACCAGCCTCCACTCACCATTTTCCAATGCAATTATTAAGTCGTTGCATCTTCTCACATTTCTTCAGTATAAAGACACTGTGTTTCAACATCGTGTTGTTAAATGATTAACTCATTTTGTAAATTTCTGATTAATGCTATATAATTAAAAATTCATAATGAAAAGAAGAATATTGAAAGGAGTAAGAGAAACTTTCATTAATGGCTTTTCAGAACACCGCCTTACATTCTCTGTATGGCAGGTGCCACCATTGACATTTCTTCTAAAGGATGACTGCCATCTTACCTTGGTCCTTGAGGCTGCCGGGGTTTGTGGAATCTTCAGTTGCAGATCCAAATATGGGCTCTTTTGATGGTGAAGGAACTGAGCACTGCGTGTTCAGAGGGTCTACTTACATCAGAACACGAGCCTTTTTATACAGAAGATTTAGATTTTTTGTTTGCATAAAATTTTTGATTTGGGATTTGTACAATTAGGATTAGTTTTTGGTTTTTTTTGAGGAAGATTAGCCCTGAGCTAACTATTGCCAATCCTCCTCTTTTTGCTGAGGAAGACAGGCCCTGGGCTAACATCTGTGCCCCTCTTCCTCTACTTTATACGTGGGATGCCTACCACAGCATGGCTTTTGCCAAGCGGTACCATGTCCACATCCGGGATCCGAACCAGTGAATCCCCGGCAGCTGAGAGAAGCGGAACATGCACGCTTAACTGCTGCGCCACCTGGCCGGCCCCTAGGATTAGTTTTTGAAGTGTGAAAAAGAAACAAAGAAAATAAGGAAAAAGAAGTTTCAACAGCATAGAAACTTATCTCTCTCCCATAAGGGAATTTGGACCTGGGCAGCCCAGGTGTGGTGTGGCGGGTCCACAAGCATCAGGGGCCCGTCTTTGCCATCGTTGCTGCCTCCTCCGGGTTCAAGATAACTTTTTGAATGCTGGCCATCAGCTCTCATTTCTGCATTGCAGTCAGCAAAAAGGAGGAAGCGTGGAAGAAAAGCCCAGTCTCTCCTTTTAGGAACACTTCCTGAAAGAGCATCCCACTGGCCAGAACTTAGTCTTATGCCTACATTTAGCCGCAATGGAGGCTGGGTAATACAGTCTGTATCCTCTGCTGCTAGATACCTGCCTCAAACTGGGGGTTTTATTTCTGAAAGAAAGACAGGGTAGATCCTGGGGAACAAGTAGCAGACTCTGACAGGATGTAGTGATGGGAGAGAGGTGGAGCTGATGTTCTTGAGCACCTGCGGTGTGACTCGGATTCTGTGAAGCACTTTACGTTGTCAACTCGTTTAACTGGGGAAATGGCAACTCAGAGAGGTTCGCTTTTCCAAAATCGCACAGCTGTGGTATGAATCCTGTTCTGGTGAGGCAGCCTGGTATACTAGACAGATCAGGGGCTTCAAATTGAAGAGACAGACCTGGGTAGAAACCTGAGTCTGCTGTTTATCAACTGCATGACCTTGGCCAAGTTATGTAACATCTCTGGGCTTCAGTATCCTCTTCTGTCTAGTGGCAACAATGAGAATTTCTTCATAAGGCTATTTGAGAATTAAATGACCACACGCACACTCACATAACGTGCTTAACCCAATGCCTTGACAGTGATAGCAGTAGTAATCCCTACTAGTCAGTGTGTGTTTGTCATAGTTGATACTCCACAAGTGATAGGGCCCTTCCCAATGTGACTGTAAATTTTCTTCTTTTTCTGTTGAGACTTCAGAAATGATTTGTTGTTTGTCTGGAATTTCGTGGAATGTTTCAGAAGCAAGCTGTCTCAGTGGAATTATTTACAGTCTCTTAGCCCCGAAGTCCCCCTGTGAAGACCTGGGGTCCTTGTGAAGCCTCTGCCTTCTTTAGTAATTCAGAATCAGAGATACATTTTTTAATGAGCTAAGCTTTAGATGGTCTATATTAGTACATTAGAACTGGTCTCCAAACTGCCTTGAAATTGTATTGTATTATTAAATCCACATTCTTTCTAGCATTTACTATCTATGAAAGTATTTCTTATCTAATTTTATATTTTCAGATTTTTTAGAAGTTTGGTGAAAGGTATCCAATTTAATTTAGCAGTTATCACTTTATTTCTCTTTTTTCTTTCAGAAATGTGATGTTCTGTGGGAAGACTTCCATCAAAAACTAGTGGATGGATCCTTGCTGACACTGGATACCTATCTGGGCCAATTTCCTGACATAAAGGTATTTTACTCTGTGTCTATAAAGGGAAGAATTAAATGGTCCCATGTACTTATTGAAACATGGGCAAGAGATAAGTGGAATTAAAAGTCCTCAAACTGGTATCAATGACAGTTGGTAACTTTTCATTTATTTAAGCATAGGATTTTTATCCTGTTCCTATCTGTTTTAAATGAAATGTAGCCAGAAATCACATATTCCCCTTTAGTGAACTGCTTCAGCTTTTCTTTCTCTACAGAAGTGTTTTTATTCCTGTAGATACAAAGTCGTACGTCAGATACGAAAAAAAACCTCAATCTTCTTTATGTTTAAACCTTTTTATTATAAAGCATTGGACAAGAATTTCCATTAGAATAATCAACAGTCACAGGAATGGAGAAACTTCATTGCAAACATGAGAGCAAAATCTAATCTTTCCTTGTTTACTGTTTATTTTGCATCTGTTCACAGCACACCTGCATATTTGTTCTCTCCTGGAAATTTTCAAGTTCAAACTGAACTATTAAGATATAGGCATTTCAAATACATTTGCATTTGGATCTAAAAATATCTTTGTCTAAAACGTTTGTCTTATTTGATACTTATTTGACACTTAGGTCTATAGAAAGAGAAATACACAGGTAAAGGATTAAATTTCGTAGATTTGGAGTTGATTCTGGAGGTAAAGACGGATTTTTAAACCATCTGGGTTGTATATAGCAAAAGGTAACATTAATAGATCTGCTTCCCCCCGCCCCCCCAACTGTCTTCCCTGCTCAAGGAGGAGTGCCAGGTAAGACAGCCATGCCTTCCCTTCCTGTAGGGTGAGGAGGCCGTGAATAAGCATCCATGAGCATCTGTGGTGCCTTGTTAAGTGTCTTCTGGTGCAGAGTTCGACTTTTACCTGGCCTTCTTTGTAGCCATTGCCAAACACCAGGAAGCCATCTGCAGTAATGTGTGCTGGCTTTCGCCATGAAACATAGTGAATTTTCTTGGCCAAAATAGCACTCACATCAATGACATTAGTTTCCGTGATCCTACAAAGAATGCCTAACGCTAGTTGGCCAACATACAAAGTGTGTTTTCAGACACCAGGGACACCAGACAAGAACCTAACTGGATCAGACTAGATACATTAACCTCGTTGACAAAATGTCACAGGGAACAAATCCAAATGATGGAATCTCAATAAAGCTGCCATAATGGGCACCAATGCACTTAATTGAGTCGTTGCATAACTTATCCTTATTAAAAGGTATAAATCAGTGTTTTAAAAATTTTCTGAGAAGTTAAATTATATTAAAAACATTTTAAGATTCTGTAAGGCTGCATGCACCAGCCTAGAGGAAGTGTGTTTTGGGAGCTCTTCAGGTCATTTAATAGACATTCGAATTTTGTCTTGGAATTTGTAACATTCATGGAGCAGTTTCAGAATCATTATCACACTTCAGAACATTGTTTATTGCATGGTGATTTAATCTCCATAAAAATCAATTCTTAATAAATCAGAAGAGGATCGAGAAACTTTGTCTTCCTACCTGAAAATTGCAAAGCAGCTTGCAACTTGTCTAAACTATTCATATAATATATGTTCATAATATGACATAGCTAAGCAAATGAAGGCTGCGATTGACTAGAGAAGAACACATTTGAAAAGTTGTTGAGTTTTAGGAACAAAAACTTAGTATCATCAAAAAAGTATGGAAGATCTTATTTGTTGTAGTTCTGCCCACCGATAGTTATTTGGAAATTGGCCAAACCCTCTAGGAGCATATAATTTTGGAAAACAAATAACACACAGAAGTACCTGCGTTGAAAGAAAGAGAGATTAAAATAAAATCATGATGGATTATATTGGCTAGTCAGTTTGTTCCATGTCAGAAAGATGAAGAACTCAGTAGAACTTTTACTTAAGCAATTACTTAAGCAGATGGTTGAGGTCGTGCACAAAGATGATCCTCTAGTTACTGAACCATCTTTACACTAGAGATTTGGGAACAATATCATCCAGCTGGATGCCCTGAAGATAAGTGAAATGGATGTCATGATTTTACCTGTATCAGGGAAAGAGGCTGAAACAATCTCTCTCTTTCTCTGAAGTCACAAGTAGCATATATGTAGGGTATCAATCAAGACAGTTGAGAAAATAGCAGTGTTTAACTTGAGAAGGAAACAATTTGGAATTGGAGAGAAGACAGGATAGCTGTTTCTAATATTTCAAAGACTCTTCTACTGTGAAAATGCACTTAAGTCATTCTGTGTGCCTGTACTCAGTGGATGAAAGTTAGAAGGGAATACATACAGACTCCATCACTTCATATAGTTAGTGCTGACTGATGATGTAATGAATAGGTTATTGATGGAAAGGAGGGTTATCATGCAAAATGCTGAGTGGAGAATTTTCAAAGTGTGGAACACAATCAACATCCTTGACTCCCATTAAAATCAACAGGCCATGTGTAGTTAAAACCTCAGGCAAATTCCCAAATATTTACTGCAGCCTTTCAGGGAGGGCTGTGAAGTACCATTCATGAGAGGATGATGTTTGACTTTTCCAACTGTGATTGGCAGGGTACCCAGTCTTATGGTTCTTACTAGGCGGAACTGACATATAAAATCAATGTTATAATAAGAGCCAGCTTGTCACCAACCCAGGCAGGCTTACAGCTGTGAGTACTTATTGTAAAATGTGGTTTAGATTCTATCTTGGCAACCATGCATGAGCAACTAAGCATATATTTACAGCAGTGTGCCAAAATGAATCCCGAATTGGAGGTATTATTGAAATAAAAAAATGCAATAAATTATTTTCTTTACTGTGTAAGGTCAGTGTACAGTGGGAAATCTGAAAAAATTTTAATTAAAGCATGTAATTAAACTATTTACTATTAAACCAGAACATTTGTTTAATTGAATTTACTATCGGATAGTTAAATAAGAATTGTATCATTTTCTATATACAAGCTACCCTTACTTAGGAGATTTGGTTCTTTTTTCAAGTTTCCCGAATATCAGATAGGTAAGGAAATAAGATCAATTTGTTTTTCCAATACAAAAATGTATACATCAAAATGAATGATGGCCTTCAAAATAGTCACTTATGCCATGGTAAGCTGTAGTCTGTGGTGGACTTGTCAGTTACAAGAAAATGAGTCACATTATTTATTTCACTTTGAACGAAAAATAAGATTACCCAAGGTACTCTTCCACCTTATTCCCAAGATTGGGAGTAATTGAATTCTGGCTCTTTTCAAAAATCAAATTCGTCTTCAAAGAATCAAGATTTGCTTCTTAGAAGGTATTACAGGAGACTCAGCCCCACGCCCCGCTCCCTCCACAAGTCCACAAACCATACCTTCACTAAAAATAGTGAACTTTGTCACCTCACAGGCACACTATGTCTGCCGTCGTTCATTGAAGGGCTCCACTCTGCCCTGCCTGGGCTAATTCATCACGTATCTTTGAACGAATGCGGTGTGTCAGCCACATTTTCCACTACTAACACCAGCTGGAAGTAATAGGTGCAGAGAGTAAAGTAAAAGAGAGTGGAAGCAGCTAAATGAGAGTAACCACCCCAGCCCACCTCTCACTGTCCTGAAGCAGATATAGAGGAATAGTGTAGAATGACGGTTGGTGGCTGAATGATAGAGTGTGTCAGAGAAACGTGGGAGCTGTTAGAAGGAGCTCTAACCAAGAGTGAGGAGCAGGGCTGAGGCCCAGTGAGGGCACTAGGATTCAGAATACAAGGAGACACCTCCTCTCGCTTGCTGACCCTGAGAGTGAGGGCCTTCTTAAATTTTGTGCCCTAGGTGTCTCATGTCACCCTACTCCTGGCACTGGTCATGGAGCTGATATCTAATTCATCTTTTGCTACAGATTTTCTGAGCAATTTTGGACAAATTAGAAGTTAATCTTATGCAACTTCAAATTGTCTACCTGTAAGATGGGAATAACCACTGGAGCATCCGTACTGTGGGTGGCTGTGAGGATCCATGGGACTATGTTTTGTAAGCCGTAAACATTTATAGTGTCACTGTTTTTCTTCTTCCTGCCATATCAAATTTAAAGTTTTTTTTAAGAATCTTCTTCTGTTGTAGTTTTCCATGTTATAACTGGACCACTGGGGAGCTTTTATAAAAGGACAGATGCCTGGGCTTTGTCTCAGACTAATTACATCAGAATCGCTTAGTCTGAGGCTCAGAAGTCAGTATATTTTACACTCTTTGCTTATAAGTTGTACCTCTGTATGTAACAATCTTTTAGCAGTTGCCCTACAGTTTACAATAAACGTCTTTAACTTATCATGTCTAACTTCAAATAATATTACAGCACTTTATGGATTGCCTAAGAGCCTTATAGCAGTACCCTTCCAGGTCTTGTCTCCCTTCCTTTGTGCTATTACTGTCGTCCAGTTTCCTTTACATATGTTATAAACCCACGATACATTGTTTCAGTTTTTTGCTTGTAGATTATCCATTACCTTTTCAAGCAATTAAAAGTAAGAAAACAAAATCTTCTATATTTACCTTGGTTTTTACCATTTCTGGTACTCATTTCTTTGTGTAGCTCCACTTGGTATTAAAATTCTTACGCTGGCAATGAATTCTCCTAGCTTTTGTTTGTCTTAAAAAAAAAACACCTTTATTTCACCTTCACTTTTGGAAGGTATTTTCATTGGGAATAGAGTTCTGAGATCTGTTTTGATTTTTTTATTTTTCAGTACTTTAAAGATGCCACTCCATTGTATTCTGGCTTGCATACTTTCTGAAGTGTAGTCTTCCCTAATTCTTACCTTTGTACTTACTGTTTTTCCTTATTCTTAATTTGAAGCAATTTGGCTGTGATGGATCTGGATGTGTATTGTTTGGAATTTATCCTTCTTGGGATTCTGTGAGTCTCTTAGGTCTGTACTTTGATGTCTTCATTATTTTATAAAATTCTCAGTCATTATCTCTTCAGCTCTTTCTTCTGACTCTTCCTCTTCCTTTCATCTCTTTTTTTTTCCTTGAGGAAGATTGTCCCTGAACTAACATCTGTGCCAATCTTCCTCTATTTTTTTTCTTTTTTTGTATGTTGGATACTGCCACAACATGGCTTGATGAGCCGTGTGTAGGTCCACACATGGGATCGGAACCCGTGAACCCCAGGCCTCCAAAGCGGAGTGCGTGAACTTAAACACTATGCCACTGGGACAGCCCCTCCTTTCATCTCTTTTTGAGACTCCAATTACACTATATCAGACTATTTGATGTTGTGTTATGGGTCTTGTATGCTTGATTCTGTTTTTCTTTTTTTGTCAATTCTTTTTTCTCTTTGTATTTTAATGGGAATAATTTTTCTTGATCTATCTTCAACTGTGCTGTTTCTTTTCTCGGCTATTTTAAGACTAGTGAAGAAATTTTTTCTCTCATATCATTTTTTTTTCTTTCTAGCCTTTCCATTTGACTATTAAATTTTCTGCATCTCTGCTGAAATTCCCCATCTGTTTATGTATGTTGTCTACCTTTTCCAACTAGATACTTTAACATATTGGTCCTAGTTATTTTAAAATTCTTGTTTGATACTTCTAACATCTGGGTCATGTCAGAGTCTGGCTCTGTTGATCGCTTTTCTTTCTCATGGGTTGTTTTTCTTTTGTGTGTGTGTGTGTGTGTATGTGTTTTATAATTTTTGATTGAATGCCAGACATCAAGTATAGAATGGTGAAGACTGAAGTAATATTTATGCCTGGAAATAGGCAAGCCTTTTTGTCAGACCATTAGTATAGCAGTTCAAATAAATCTGATTGCAAGTTGAGCTGCATTTGGATTTTGTTGTGGCTGCTGTTAATTTCAGTGCACTATGGCTTTCAAATTCCTCTGGAACTGGGCTGCTAAAGCCTTGTGCTTATATTCTAACATCTATAATGGTCTAAGGCTTTTAGGTTGAAGTCTAGTTTTTGCCTCTTCTTTGACCTGCATAGGGGGCGCCCTTGGATGCCAGAGAGTTTTTCCCATTGTTTCTGCTCCCCGTCAGATTTCAGTTGACCTTGTATGCAGACAGGTCTCTCTCCTCGCACTCCTTCCTCCAGTGGTAGGCATCTACTGCTTGCTGTTCAGTGCTAGACTTGTAGTGGGGTCTGGGCTGTTTTCTGCTGTACTTTTCTGGCCTGTCTTAAGCAAAGTCAGCCTCATATCTGTGGTTGGTCTTGAGCAGAAGTTTCCTGCCCAAGTAGAAACAGACCTCTTCTTGTTACAGCACTCAGATCTTGGGCCCAAGAAGCTTTGATGCCCCTCCTCTAGGGGTAGAGATATTTTCTTCTACCTTTCTGTGTATAGCAATTAATTTTGCATGTATCCTTGGGGTCACAGGGGATCCTATCCCTTCCCCAGGGCCAGATTGGTTTTGCTTCTACCCCTCCCCCTAGAAGCAGTGGATCTTTGCCTGGCCTCTGTGGGCAGGAGGATTTGTTGCTCTCTCCTCAAGCAGCTTAAAGCTTTTGCTTTGTAAGGGAAAAATGTCCATGGAAACGGGCAGGGCTTTGTGCCCACCCCGTAGCAGCCATAGATCCCCTCATTTTCACCTGCACTGTGAGGGAGTGCTTTGTCCCCAAACATCCTCATAGCATCCACTGGAGGCCCAAGGCAAGAGCTCGCCCATAAATGCAATTCCGTCTTGTGTCTTGGACATCCAGCTGTTCCAAACCGATGTGTTAGCCCACACTAGGCCTTTAACAATTAGTTAAAATTTTAGCTGACCTCTTCTTGTCCACTTGTATGGTGGCCACAGCTTTTACCTGTGCCTTGCTAAAGGTCAAATGGTTTATGTGTCCCATCTCTCCTTGGAAAGACTTGTCCCTCTTAGAATTCAGATTACTTTATTGCCTTGTGACCTCAGGTCTCTGATATAATCAAGAGGAATGATGCTTTTATAGATTTCCCAGATTGTTTTCTTATTAGTATGAGAGTAACATTCTTTGCAGCTCTATATATCCTAGCTGGAAATAGCAGTCTCTAGGAATCAATATAACTCCTCAGATGATTCTAATGAACAAAAAGGATGGACAAACACTTCTAGGAAAAAGGATTTCTTACTCCTAAGAATCGGCCTTGTAGAACTGCTTTATAAATCTGCTTTATAGAACTGCTATTAGTGTGTGTTATTAGAATTATAAAACCAAATCCTAATGAAGGATTCCACTATCTTCAAAGTGGAGCATTTAAGATTTAGAATAGAGACTAAGAGAGAGTATAGGTTTACCCACTCCCCTCAACCGACTCTGGAATTTTTCTGGTCTTTGACTGCAAATTCTGCCTTCAGCTCCTCTTGATTGGCCTAATTATTATCAGAAGGGGAGATATTTACCTCATGGTTTTCGCACAAAGGATTGAAGGGTATAGTCTGATTTCCAGGGATCATTTGTCTACTGAAATTCTGGTTCACCTCAATCGCCAGTCAAGATCCTCAGCTGCTCTGGACAAGGAAAGCATTTTGGCCGTCAAAAAGAGAACCTATAACCATATCTCTTTCTTAGTGCCTGTATTTCCCTGTTGGCAGAATCGCATTGCAAAGCGCAGCAGGAAGCTGGTGGACTATGACAGTGCCCGCCACCATCTGGAAGCTTTGCAGAGTTCCAAGAGGAAGGATGAGAGTCGAATCTCTAAGGTAGGGATTGATCCCCCTGTTGCCACCAGTCTCCATATCCTTTGACCTATAGCAACTTTGCTTTTTAAAATCAAATGTTTCTTTTTTAGTGGAGATTGGATTTGGGACAGAATTTAAACTGAAACCTGGTGCTTGTGGGCTGCTTTCCATAGTTTTTAATAAAAAGAAAGCTTTTTACATTATTATAGAGTTCACATGGGTGACACTGACTCAGACATTTTGATCAGCAGAAGCTTTGGTCCCCAACAATACTGTAGGATCAAAGAAAGTAATGCGTGTTCCTGCACTTGTTTTGTGGTTGTGGCCCATACGTGATCCTGAAATGCAGATTCCGATGGGAAACTAAGTTTGAAATTCTCTAACATAACTTATGAGTGTCTGAGGGTACATACATGTGCTAGATTTGCATAACATGCATTTTCTTTTGGAAAACCCATTTCAGTAGCTTTTACCACGTATGTCAGTCATTTACAGATGCCAACTCACTGAAAACACCTGCTGACTACTCCCTATGCCTCCAGTCTTGCCTCCTCCTATTTGCCTACACACAACTGCCTGAATGGTCTCTCTATATCACATATCTAGATATATTTCTCTACTCTGTGAGTCTTTTAATGGCTCCCATTGCCTGTAGAAAAAATTCTAAATTCCTTAGCAGGGCGTGTTCGACTTTCACAATTTGGTTCTGACTCACTTATTCATCCTTGTCAACTTTCAAGTCTTCTTTTCCCTCCTTTCCCTCTTCAATGCACACCTCTTAAGCCAGAGCCTCCGTGACCTACACATTGGTTCTGAGCAGCTGCAATAACAGCTGCCCTTCATGGGAGGCCCCACGGATGCTAGGCACCACAGTCCACACTTCCGTTACGTCATCTTCCCTTCATACTCACAACACCTCTGAGGCGGGCATCACTATGTCCATGTTTTGGATGGGATATCTGAGGTGCAGAAAGTAAAGCAATCTGACAAGTTGTCATGGTTAGTAAGCTAAAATTCCAACCCTAGGAACTTCACCTTTGCTTATTGTAGTATATTCTCCACCTCCTTTAGCAAACATTTGTTGATTCTTCAAGATTCGATTAAAGTATCACCTTCCATGTGAAACCTTCTCTTTCTTCTGCATCTTCTTCCTCAATAGCATGCTCTCTAACGGCTTGTAAGCCTATTATATAATGTAATTATTTAGACTTATCCCTAGACGGGGAATTTCTTGGGGAAGCATCCATTTCTAGTATTCTGAGCAGAGTGGTCTATGAGCGAGGCAGTTAACATATTTTTGTAGAATGAATGAAGCTGTCAGAGACTGCCAGAGCAACCATTGTAGTCAATCCAGTTGTCTTTTTTAAATAAAATTTAATAGCTCACTTTTATTGAAAAAAATCGTGTGGATTTTAACCAGATTTCTTTTCTCCCTAAAATGTTTCCAGGATGCCATAAAGCTATTCCTGTTTTATATTAAATGATGTTGCTGTGTATAGAAATGGCTTGTGTTTAGGTGATTTTTTTTTGTTTGTTTTAGTGTAAACACATGTGTGTCGTTTCTAGGCAGAAGAGGAATTTCAGAAAGCACAGAAAGTGTTTGAAGAGTTTAACGTTGACTTACAAGAAGAGTTACCATCGTTATGGTCAAGGTAAAGATGTTTCTGTGCAGGTTGTGTATGTCCCTTTTAGAAGTTCAAGAACAGTGTGTATCCTTTATCTTGTCTTCATTGCCTGTGATGCTTCAGTGCTTTCCAATGGAAGTATTCTGTAATCTATGCTTTCCAATATGGTAGCTACTTGCCACATGTGGCTGGCTGTTGAGCACCTGGATTATGGCTAGTGTGACTGAGGAACTGAATTTTAAATTTAATTTATTTTGTTTTAATTCATTTACATTTAAATGACCCCATATGGCTAGCAGCTACCGTACTGCATGGCACAATTTTAGACCTTGGTATAGTTCTCAAGTGGAGAACCAAATCTCAATTAGAGGCATAGGGAGCATTGCCCTTAACCTTGAAATTTACAAGAATTCCCTTTCAGCTCTAGGCAGAACTTCCTTTATTCCAAGAGCTTACCTTGTCTTCTGGCATCGATGCCAAGCCTCTACTTTCAGCCCTCACTTATTAAGCTGAACTTCATTCCCATTTTAGACACTAAATATTCTTCTTATTTACAGGTACTTTGCATTTCTCATGGCAGTAGGTGCAGTTTTCCTACTCAGTGGTAGAAACAAGAAGTTGTTGGGTGAAGTGGACCTTATGTCTCTCAATTGCCATCAGCACTCCCATGCTACCACCCTAAATAAACAGAATTGTGCTTACCCTAAACCTTTGCTTTAAGTAAAATCTTCCAGCCCAGCTTCCAAACTGATAGTTGCCCCTAAAACCTTCCTATATAGAAATTATAGGGCTACTTATCCTCCAGAATTATAGGCATTTTGAGGGTCTAGATTGGAGTTTGTCCATTTCTGTGTTCATCCTTAGTGCTCTCAATTTTTTGCCAATAGTAACCACTCAGTGTTTATTTTTGAACTACTGAAATATCTAGAGGAAATTTTGGCTAGTTCACTATAAAACCAGTCTTTGGGTAGTGAACATGATATAATCTACACAGAATTGGAAATATATTACCATGTATACCTGAAATTTATTTAATGTTATAAACCAAGGTTACTGCAATAAAAAAAATTTAAAAAAACCCCAGTCTGTAGGACATGCCGTCTTCAATGTCCAGCCATAACTCAAAGTTCAACATGTGTGAACTTAATTCACTGCTCAGCTGGATTTACTCATTCTTTCAACATCTGCGTTTCTGTCTTTGGTACCAGCATTGCTGGGCTCCCAGCCTCCAAGCTTTGGAGTCATTAACTACGGGAAACCAAAGGACTCTCGATTGTTAAAGGAAACAATCCTTTTCCTGTGTGTTCCTCTGATTGGTCTCCCCCTCTCTATTCTCATTGTTATCACCCTAACCCTCATCATCCTCTTGTGAATTAAAGTGGTAGTCTTGCGCTCACCTTTCCATCTTTGACCTCATCCTCTACACTTCTTCATTCATCTCTGTGACCTGCTTAGGAGCTTACTGTATATGCCCAAAGAACACCTATCCTCTCCCACAGTCAGCATTTTGAACAGCTTAAATATGTAAAACTTTTAGAGATATAGATGAGACAAATAGCTATAATTTTAAGTTATTTACAGATTTTCCTCAATTTACGAAGGGATTATGTGCTGATAAACCCATTGTAAGTTGAAAGTGTTGTAAGTCAAAAATGCATGTAATGTACCTACCCTACTGAATGTCATAGCTTAGCCTAGCCTGCCTTAAACGTGCTCAGCACACTTACATTAGCCTATGGTTGGGCCAATCATATAACACAAAGCCTATTTTATAATAAAGTGTTGAATATCTCATAATTTATGAATACTGTTCTGAAAGTGAAAAACAAAATGGTTGGATGGGTACAGAATAGTTGTCACTGTATCGGTTGTTTACCCTCCTGATGGCAGGCATGGCTGACTGGGAGCTGTGGGGGCTGCCCCTGCCCAGTGTCACGAGAGAGGATTGTACAGCATATTGCTATGCTATATCCGGGAAAAGGTCAAAATTCAAAATTCTAAGTACAGTATCTACTGAACGTGTATTCCTTTCACACTATCATAAAGTTGAAAAATCCTAAGTCAAACCATCATAAGTTATTCATTTAAAATTACAAATTCTCTGGGCCAGCTCCGTGGCCGAGTGGTTAAGTTCGCGCGCTCTGATGCGGGGTCCCAGGGTTCGGATCCTGGGCGTGGACATGGCACCGCTTGTCGGGCCACGTTGAGGCGGCGTCCCACATCCCACAGCTAGAAGGACATGCGACTAAGATATACAACTGTGTACAGGGGAGTTTGGGGAGGTAAAGCAGAAAAAAAAATTACAAATTCTATGAAATTGTGTGGTTTTTAAGAAATGTTATTTTTTGCGCCCTTGTATTTCAAGATACTTGTATTGAAAATCTTTATATCCATCTTTGGTATCTGTGTCTTTGTCCTCATTAAAGATACTCATCAAGTCAGCCAGTGGTTGTCCAGAGTTTATCATCTTCCTCAACAGATATTCCATCCCAAACGCAAGTTGTCGTTTGCATATAATTAAGACAGTTATTCTTTTCACTTCCTCTGTAAGGGAATTTTTGTGATCTCAAATGAAATTACTTTCTTTATTGCTTTTTAAACTGATCTTTAAAAAGGCTTGGGTACCACAATGTTCAACACTTCCAATTATGAGATAATACTCCTGGGAAAATTGCCAAAAAGACAGTTATTATTTGCCTTAATGTGTATTGAGTATGTAAATTTTTTTTTCTAGTGCTCTTCTAGAAGAATCTAAAACTAGCATTGACTGATGTCATTCCAGGCTTATGTGCCTTCCCAAATAGTATTTAGTTATTCAAACTTGTCAGTGTCTTTTAATATGAAAGACTTCTGGGGACTTAAACACAACTGGAATATTTGAGGGGGAAATTTTGGAGAGAAACCTTTCCTCTTAGCTGGTCATACCCAGTATAAATGTTTCAGTGCTTTTTAATAGAGTCTAACTTCTCATTTCAGCGCTCAAATCTCTTTCCTCTTTGTGTCAATCAAATCCTGCCCTTTGATCAAAACCTAGCTTAGGCCTCTCTTTAAATGCAGTGTGTTCCTTGGTTAAACCCAGATTACTCAACCACCGTAATTGTGTGTGTTGTGTGTCTTTTTTTGTGTGAAAGAGAAAGAGATTGTTTATTGAATGCTTTCTATTTGCCACATATCATTTTATATACTTTACATACATAATCTCTAATTATCACTATTACACATATCCCCATTTTACACATGAGGAAGTTAAGGATCCTGTTGCTTCAACACCTTGCCTAAAATTGTGAAGTTTGTGAATCCTAAAGCGGGCATTTAAAGACACTTCTGTGGTTTTTGCTATAGATTTTGATGCATTTAGGGCCTCTCTTTATTTAAAATGAGATTGCATGTAGTCTTTCATAAATAAAATTTATTTCATAAAATTATTTTATGAATAGATATGTTTTCTTCCCAGCCATATTGCTCCACCTTGAAACTGAAATTTGTCCTTTGTATCTTCTGTGCCTCCTATGGTGAAACAAGTAATTCTAGACAAGTAGTAACAAGCATGTATTAACTGATTAATGCCTGCAGTCCTGAAGCAAACACTCATAACCATTCGATATGTTGGGTGGAGTGTTCTGTAGATGTCTGTTACATCCAGTTGGTCTGTAGTGTTCTTCAAGTCTTCCATTTCCTTATTGACCTTCTGCCTAGTTGTTGTTTTCATTATTAAAAGTGAGGTACTGAAGTCTCCAACTGTTATTGGTGAACTGTCTATATCTGTTCAATTCTGTCAGCTTTTGCTTCATGTACTTTGGGGTTCTGTTGTTAGCTGTATACATGTTTATGACTGGTATATCTTCTTGATGGATCAACCATTTTATCTTTATAAAATCTTCTTCTTTGTCTCTAGTAACAAATTTGTCTATTTTGTCTGATATTCCTACAGCCATTCCAGTTCTCTTTTGATTGCTCTTTGCTTGCATGAATTTCTTTTACTTTCAACCTATTTGTGTCTTCAAATCTAAAGTGTGTCTCTTGTAGACAGCATATAGGTGGATCGTGTGTATATGTGTATGTTTTATCCATTCTGACAATCTCCGCCTTCTGATTGGCATGCTTAGTCCATTAATTTAATTACTGATAAAGTAGTTTACCATTTTGCTAATTGTTTCCAGTATGTCTTAGGTCTTTTTTGTTCTTCTGTTCTTTCATCACTGCCATATGTAGAAATTGTTTCAAATTTTGGATGTATAAAGGAGAAGAGAAATAAAGTACTACCTGGATGGGGGGATGTAGGTTCAATTTTAAAAGAGGAAATACTAGGGTATGTTTTTATGTTGTAAACGAGCTGACAATTCATAAGAGATGATAGAGAGGTATTACAAAGAAGGACAGCTCCAAAGTGGATACTGTAGCTAAATCTTCAAAATGAGTGAAGTCACCAGTCATTGAAAAGGATATTCTAGGCTGAGGTAGAGCATGCATGAAGGCATGGAGCTTGAAGAAGATGTGTGGGTTCATGGAACTTTAATTAGTTTACTGTATCTGGAGGTCAGAGTGAAAGTGTCAAGGAGGAGGGTTGCGGTGATAAAGCAGGAGAGAGCCAGTGGTCAGATTTATTTATCGTTCATTCAACAAATATCAGTTGACTACCCACTGTGTGCCAAGTACTCTTTCAGGTGCTGAAGATCCTGTACAGAAGCTTACCTTGAAGAATAGGGGAAGGCAATTATCAGGAAATAAATAGAGAATGAAACATCAGACAATAAGTTCAGTGAAGAAAATAAAACAAGATAATTTAATAGAGGGTGACATGGGGTGGGCTAACCAGTGTAGACTGGATGGTTAGCAAAGGCTTTTCTCAGAGAGATTGACAATACATGAGGAAAAGGAAGTTTTGGGAAAACTCTCCGTTTGGTATATGTTGAGTTTGAAGAATTACTAGAAAGTCCCAAAGGATATGTCTATTGGGCTAACCAGGTGTGGATCTTAAAAAGAGGTTCAGGAGTCATTATCTTACAGGTGGTAATTGATGCCATGAGAGTTAATGAGGTTAGTAGTGGAATAGGTCAGATGGCAAGATGAGGGCCAAAAACAGAACCTTTGAGAGCACCAATATTTAAGGAATGTGCAGAAGAGGAGCCTCAGAAGAACCGGACAAGAAATAATCAGAGATGTAGAAGGAGACATGAAAAAGACCTGGAAGAATATTATCTCAAAAAGCCAAGAATAGAGAGAATTTTAAAAGTGATGGAGTGCCAAGAGTGTCATTACAATAGAGAGATCAAGTAGATGAGGACTAAAGATGCATTGCCTTCCATGAACTTCCAGGGAGGTTCCAGTCAGGTTGGGTCACAAGCCTGCTTACAGGCATTGGAGACTCCATGGAGGAGGAGGAAGGAGAAACAGTGGATATCGTCTGTTACTTTGAAGATCTTGACTGTGATGGGCATGAGGAATCGTGGCAGTAGATATAGGGGGGAGGGAAGTTTGTGTTTTGGTTGGATAGTCACATGGATGTTGAGATCTGCTGTGTTAGTGTTGGGATTTGGAGAAGGAGAGAGAGGGAAACCATGAGACATGTGCCCTTGTGGACAGTGAATGGGCTTAGGCGGGGGTGCTGGGAGGTTGATAGGTGAACCATGAAGAAGTTGAATATATGTGGGATAAATCTCGGAGGAGGAAGTATAAATAAGCTCAGAAGATCAGGGGAGAGCTGAAGAAAACTCTTCTGTCTCCCACTCCACCATCATGCTAAGTCAGGGATGGCAGAGGATGCTTCTTCCATTGCAGGGGCCTCAAGGGGAAGCAGTGACCACCATGCCCTCTGGCCCCCACCCCACCCTGGGTCACACGTTTCTCTTAGGGCAGTGCAGAGGGGAGAGTGTCCTGGCCTGCAAACTGTGGCTATGATAAGCTTGGCTGTCAATCCTTCCCGTTGTTTCCAAGAACAAAGAAATGTCTTAATAAAGAGATTAAGTTAGTCTTGACAGTTAACCAGAAGGGGCCTGAGGATGCCTCTGAGAAGTCCTTTGGGGAAATGGTAATGTCTCAGAGTCCCTTGTTTATGAAGAACTTGTGAGATGAAACCTCCCAAGCAGATAATATCAGTATTCGAGAGCCTGGTACTCTTTGTGGATGCATATGTCAGTGCTGGTGACGCTACTTTTTTTCAAGCCAGGGTTGCAGTCAGAATATGCCCTCCCAGGCAGATGAGTGCCATGGTGGGTCATTCATTGGCTTGTTCATTCATTCATTCATCCATTCATTCATTCATTCATGAAATATTTACTGCCTGCCTGCTCTGCCCACGTGCTGTATTTGATGCTGTGCCTATAGGAGTGAAGTGGTCACAGGCAGTTCCTACTTTGAGAGCCTCTGGTTTCATGAATTGGAGAAAATCACTGTCTGATGAGTTGCATCAAAAATGCTGAGCACTTTTTTCCTAAGTTAAATACATCCTAGTTGATTTAATTTCTAAATTCTGAAAAGAAACCGTAAGAGTATTAGAAAATTATGGATAATTTGTTTAGACATTCTAAATAAGGTATTTCTTTCTGGCACTGCACTAATTATTTCTCTAAGTAATTATTAACCTAAACGAGTTAACATATGCCGTATATCAGAAAACAAAATTTAAAGATGGAATATTCAAGCTTCGATATATTTAATAGAAAATCCCTTACAAATAAATAAGAAAGAGCAAGCACTAAGAAATAAGCAAAGAACATGGACAGGTGACTCACAAAGACGCTGGCTCTTCCCTTGCAAATTTACAGAGGTTTGTATGAAGTCGCATTCAAAGTTGAGGGAATGTGCAAGCCCAGCCCGCTTGGGGGCAGTTTGGCGGGGCCGTCAAAGCTTCTGTTGTCTGTGCCTTTCACACGGCATTTACACTCAAGAAACTTACTCTGAGGAACTAGTAAGGCTGTACACAGAGTTCTCATTCATAGATCTTCATCAGGGTTTTGTGTATCATAGTGAAAAAATCAATGAAAATAAAATAATACCCGCCAATCAACTTCAACTACACCACCCCCGCCCGCGTCTGCGCCCATTTTCTGTTTAAGTCTGACCCATTCTTCAAGGTCTCCTAGGTTTGTCCTCTCAAGTGGATGTTTGCAGCTAGTCTAGGGCCCATTGCTCCCCTCTCTTTTCAGTTCCTTTTGCTGTCTGTATCTGCTCATTTTCGATATTTAATCGTGCACGGTCTTTTGCGGTAACTGACATTCACATGCTGTTTTGAAATGTGCTCCTTTCCTACCAGTATGAATGTAGCATGTGTTCATTGATCAGCCCCTCTGGTGCTCCTCTAACTGCATTAGTTCCTGGAGTCACCTTAGCCCACCACTAGGCATGCACCCAGAGCCTCATAGGCCCTTTGTTGAGTAATCAAATGAGGAACAGGAATTACTGTTCTATGGGGATCCTAGAGAAGGGATCCTGGGTTGCCACTTAAAGTGCCCAGGGAGATTTCTCTGCAAACCACACAATGAGCCAAGTCCCTCTGCATAATATTGTCAGGGCTCCTGCAATCTCTTCTCTCTCCCATCCAGCTGCCGCCTTAGTTAGCTTCTTCAAATACACATCCAAGTCGTCAGCTTTCCCCTGTCTCAAACACAGCCAGGGGCTGCAAATAACCATTGCCTGCAAGTAAATGCCGTGGGTCCTGGTCTGGACGGTCCCCTGCCTCAGAGCACCGATCAGCCTCACCCGGCCCTCATCTCCCAGGCTTCTGGTCTGACACTCCTAAGTATGTACTATTTCCCAAACACACCATGTCAGGATTTTTTTATGTATATGCACACACATATACATGATTATGTATATGATTTTAAATCAATTAGAGGAAAAATTATGTGAAATCAGGTACACATGATCACAATAGGTATAGAAAATTAAGATTAACTGGGACGTGGTAGGAATTTAAGGTACAGGATAAGCCATAGAAAAAGTAAATCTTACCAGCGGGATGGATTTAGCACTCAACTGTTATTTCATCTCTCAATCTCTAAATTGGACTTCTAGCTTTTATTTTGTTAAAATTCCAAACCACCTAATTCATGAGAAAACACAGATTTTGGTAGCACTGACATAACGTTATTCATGCTTAAGCAGAATTTCCTGACAAACATTCCGTGCTTTTCTATCGCATTTTCCTCCTTTTAAATTCAAATACTGGTTCTTCATTTATTAATTGCATGACCCTGGACAGTTAATCTCTCTATGCCTCAGTTTCCCTGGATATAAATTGAGGATCGCTGCCTCAGGGGTAGTTATGAGAATTAAGTGAGGAAATGTATGAAAGTGCTTAGATGGCTGCTCTTTCTTTTGGCTTTCATGGCAATGCAGCATTCTTCCACCTCTGCTTGTTGGAATCCTACACACAGCAAGTTGCAGCTCGACTACGGGAAGACCCCTTTTTTCTATCCTTTCAGCTCACTCTTTAAATAAGATGGGTGCCTACTGTGTGCAGGCACATTCTTATTCCCTAACTATATTCTAAACTCCCTAAATATATTTTTGTTCCATATATTAGGCCTACCTAATGTTTCTGTATCTAGGTCCTTACTTGATTCTTGATTGAGATTTGGAATCTAATTAACTAATCAGATTGCTGGGGTTATTTTCGAGAATGTTATTGAAACAAGAACATGAATTAAGTCACAGCAGTAATTTACTTGGATGGATTCAGAAGGATTGAGTCAATTCAGGGTCCAAAGAACCCTCATGTAAAAACAGAGGGAGCTTATACTGGGTGCATGGGGCTGAATCCGTGTGTGATTGGTGTGCTTAGGGACATAAAAATGAAGACTGAGGGACTCTGCTCATGTCACAGAGCACCGCCACTGATGACTTTGCTTCACAAACACATGTGAGGTGCTGTGAATGGACAGCTTATGTTTCTATTTTCTTAGTGATAGCACGTTCTCACTTTAGCTAAAGAATTGTAATTAATTTGTGGGTTTTTTAATTTCCCTCTGTTAAACAAATTTCAGAGTCCAAATATATGGTACCAAAACTGGCCCATTTATATTTTATAAGAATTAGTAATAAAAATCTGTATCCCCAAACCTTTATCTATCTATCTATCTATCTATCTATCTATCTATCTATCTGTCTATCTAAAATACAATCAAATTCTTAGGGCATTGATTCCAAAAGTGTTGTCTTGGAACCAACAGCATCAGTATCACGTAGAACGTGTTAGAAATGCAAGTTCTCAGGCCCCACCTCAGACTTACTGAATCCAAAACAAACTCCAGGTGATTCTGCAGCACATTAAAGTGTGAAAACCAGTGTCTTACAGTATTGATTACATTTTAGAGGAGGTCACGCTCTATGCTCAAAAATGTTATTTTTGCTCACAGGAAAGATTGGGCATACTTTGGGTTACTTTATTTAATCTAGTGTTTTTCAAAATTATATAAGAAAACCTATTTTTAGTAGATTTCGTTGACATTAAAAACACAGTTTTGCAGACTGGCCTTTCTCCTCTCTTCTTTCCTCTTTGAATCTCCACATGGCAGACGAGTTGGATTTTATGTCAATACTTTCAAAAATGTCTCCAGCCTTGAGGCCAAGTTTCATAAGGAAATTGCGGTGGTGAGTAACGATGATTATTTTTACTTATGGAATGTAAAGTAAATGAACATTTATTCTGGCAGCAAATGAAACGGTGTAGCGTCATGCGAAGAATTCACTCTCTTGCATATTTCTTTTAAGTGTTATGACTCGTAGTAATATTTCTACAGTTTTTTGTAGTGACCACATAGTTTTTTATATCTTCTAGAGGTTTTAGTTATAAAATTTAGATATAAAAAATACTGTCATGAATCGCTGCCTGATTTTATTTCTGTTTTCAAATTCCTTTTCTCTTGTCACAGTCTTCTTTTTTTTCAGTCAGCTTTTAAAGTTGGAGTTTTAAGTGATACTTTAGGCTGAGGGAAATTTCATCTCCAAATATTCAGATCATCAGCCACTTTGTCATCCACTAATATTTTCTTAGTTGAGCTGGGTGGTTGTGTGATTTTAGTAGAGTAAATGTAAATAATGTTTTTTTTTCTGCTGTATACTCTGGTTAATAAATATATTTTGGTTTTTCTTAGTTTATTTCTGTTCGTAGTCTTTCAGTTTTGACATGAATTTTAAGTGGGACCATATACAGAATTTAAATTATACTGGTACCATAGATACGATCATAAGATTCTTAGCTTTTCAATGAGCAATTCCTGTCTTGGGGCAATAGCCTGAATTGGCACCAGAATGACTTGCAGCTAATAGACAAGTGGCCTCTGTCCCTTTAGCTTTGCCACAAACTGTATGAAGTGATGACGAAACTGGGCGACCAGCACGCTGACAAGGCCTTCACCATTCAAGGAGCTCCCAGGTAGGCCATGTTCATCACAGCCAAGTTCATGTCCCTGCACCTTGAATGCCATGCTTGTTGCAGTGTCTGCAGTCTGTCCCAGCCTATACTGTTCTACTCATCCTATAAAAATCCAAAACCGAGGGGCCGTTCCATCTAGAGGCTGACGCCAGCCTTCGGTCTGTCCTTTAACATCTACCTTTAGCCTTCAGATTTACCCTACATGGGCTTTTGTCACTGTCACGATGGAATAGATTATCTGCCTCTCTCTGATTTCCACAGGACCTGACAGCAATGCTGTAAATTTTTAACATATAATTTCTAGTTGTGTACTTGTTACTTTCTTTGGAGAAGAAAGGAATCTCCCAAACTCAGGACCATCCGGGTGCTTATCATTGGTGCTGGCATCTGTAATGAAGCCATTTTGGGAAAGGAAAGAGGAAGCAGTGAGACCTCACAATCATCTTCCCTCCTAACTCGACCTGGGAAAATCTGTGTTGTTTTGGTTTACTACACGTTGTTATTTTGGGTATGCCTGTCAAATACACCGACGGCCCAGTGATCCATAGGTATATTGTCTGCCTTGCCAGGATTTGGCTTCACACCAGCTTTCTCCTGTGCTTTTGGAATCCCTTTTATTCCATCCCTCTCAGGCATTATGTACTCAAGGAATGCAGGCTAGTGAGCCTTGGCTGGAAGTCAGAAGACCCAGCTTTCAGGTTTATGACTGTAGTTAACTTGCTTTGCCTTCCTTGATTAAGTCCAATAACCTCTCTGGTTAAAGATCTCGTTTTTTTTAGTCAATAGAAAAAAAAAAGATGCTATTGAATAAAACAGATATTCTAGGGTAATATACAGTCCTGAAATTCTATATTTGTGATTTTAACATCAGTCAGTGTATACACTCATACGCCTGCACATATAAAAACACACACACTCCTACACAGGCACCACCATCACCATATTCAGTGTTTGGATCTCTCTGGGGACAGCTGAGTTTCTTATTCCATGCTCTTTGGGTTAGCTGTACTTGTAGTCTCTGCCACGGCTGCTATACCAAGTGAACCTTACGTATATCTTCTCTTTCTACGGGAAAGACCATTGCCTAAAAGAATACATGAAAGGGGTAGAGCTGTTGTTTCCAGTACAGTTATTTTGATATGGGGCTGGGGACAAAGAGAGAATTGTAATAACATCAAAATGACATTAGAATGTTTTAGGAATGAAGTACATGAAAAAAATTAAGGGTTGCTCCCTGATAGAAAGGTGAAAGACAAATCCATCTGAAAATTTCAATGTTGCTGAATCAGATTAAATGAAGATAAACATGGGGCCATGGCCACTTAACAAATGTTCCTTTCATTTTTTTCAACGTTCCTCCGCAAAATGAGGGGGTGAGTGAGCTCAGTGGGATCTTATTAAGATCAACTGGGGCTGAGCTCCCGACCAATCATGGAGGCCATGATTGCTGGCATGGGCCCAATCGTGTGCACATCCGTGTTCTCTCCACAGGACCCGTTCCCTCGGCCCCTTGAATATGTAGACCGTGCCATGGTGTACATGCTCGTTTATTTTGGGGTACATACCTGTTCCCTTGATTTGTAGACTTTAGAAATTCTTAGAGTGAAGGATGTGTCCCAAGTGTCCTCTTAGTCATTGCCTTTGGGCTATTCACAAGCATCTGGCCCTGTGCCAGAAACGTGGCGGGTTCTCAGGACACATTCCCAAGTCTGGTCCGTCACTTAATTTGTTTGCACATTGCCGAGTGTCTGAGTTGCATCATTGTGTTCCATAAGTTGTAGAAAGAGAAACAGTTAATGAATTGATTCCCAAATGTTGTCAGAAAGCACCCCTACAAAATCTTAGCACCATCCTAAGAATGCCTTTTTACATAAAATTGATCATTTTCAGGGTAGAATTTTTTTTTTCATAGATTATGACAGCAAGATTCTTTTGTAAATCAGAAGTGAAATGAGTTCCATTAATTCAGCGTATATTTGGAAGATTCTCGTAGAGCCTGTTTGCCATAGTGGAAAGAACAGGGGGTTTGCATTACTAAGGCCTGAATTCAGATCCTCTGAATTACTGAGTGTCTTTAGGGTTTTTAACCTCTTTGTGCCCAACTTTACTTACGTGTAAAGTGGGGACAATAACGCATGAGTGTTGTGGTGATTAGAGATAGCATATGAACGGGGTCTGGCACACAGTGTACAGTGAATGGTACCAATTATCACCATCACCATCAATAATAACCAGAATAACCTGGAAAGGGGGATAGATGACACAGCACCTGTTATGCCTCAGGATTTCTCTGGGTTGGAGGACCCCTGATAAATAAGTACTGTTCTGAGAAGGCCCCTTACTTACTCTTATGTGTGCATCTAGTGATTCTGGTCCTCTCCGCATCGCGAAGACGCCATCGCCGCCCGAGGAGCCTTCGCCCATCCCGAGCCCGACAGCAAGCCCCAATCATACACTGGCACCCGCGTCTCCTGCACCAGCAAGGCCTAGGTCACCTTCGCAGGTAGACAGAGATCAAGTATACTGGGGGAAATGGAAGAACTCGTGGTGAGACGACCCCAGCTGGGATAAACCCACGCTGCTGGGGCATAAAGAGGAGTTTCCAGGTGGAGAGTCTCTGAGGGGTGAGGCTCCAGGCACTGTGATCGTCACTAAGGACTCCCCTTAGTTTCTTAGGTGGATTTTTATATTTCCTCATACCTTCTCTGCTTGAGTGTGTTGAGACTTCTCTATGCAATCTCAGCTTCCTCAGGCTGGCATGGTCTTCTCTTCTCCCATCTCTTGCTTTTCCGAATCCTTTCCTTCAAGGCTCCGTTTAATCCTCCCTTCTCCATGAAACCCGCCTCCTGTAGCACCTTAGGTAACACTTGGGGCAAATACGGCCAAGAACAACTGTTCTGTTTATCTGTCATTTCACGTTTTTTTTTGTATCAGCCACAGTATATTGCATATGAGTAGGTGCTCACCAAAAGTGTGTGGAACAAGTGAAAGGAAGAAACAGTAAGGGCCAGAAAAGGTACATGTAGAGAAAAATTGCCACCCTTATCTTTGGGTGAAGATGAAATTTCTTTAGGAATCTTGAAGTCTGCAGTCTGGTTCAAGGTTCCGTGTGTGTGGCTGGACCTCAGGAGAGTCATAGAAGATGTATGTGATAGATTTCCAAAGTTCTTACTTTTCAGAATACTGGAGTGGACAGTGAAATGTGTGCTGCCTATAGGTGATCTCGCTGATTCCAGTGAAAAGCTTGCTTGATTTTAGTTTTAAAATTCTAATCTATTGCTGGAGTGAGATATCATTTTCAGTTTACTTCAGAGAAGGTCTTGCCTTAGTTTAGCTTTAGAGGCACAGGGACCTGACCCTGTGGCCCACTGTGTGGATAGCACTTGTGTTGGGATGAATGGAGCCTCGTAGCCTGAATACGTCTCATTGGACCCTTGCTTGTCAGTGTTCAGAGAGCCGCCCAAGTAGATTGCATTCTTTACCTGAATCAGGTAGGTTATTTCTATAGGCAGAGCTACCTTTCAATCAGTGGTCAGTCTGTCTGCCTCGCTCCCTTCACATGACATTTCTGCACCTCGTGTGCATCCTCTTAGGCTGAATTAACCACTGTTTGTTTGTCTTGAATGCTTTGTAGACAAGGAAGGGTCCTCCTGTCCCACCGCTGCCTAAAGTCACTCCGACAAAGGAACTGCAGCCAGAGAACATCATCAGTTTCTTTGAGGACAACTTTGTTCCGGAAATCAGTGTGACGACACCTTCCCAGGTGAGTGCCTGGTACACACTGGGATGTCCACGAAGGTCCCATGGTGGAGGGACTCTCTGAGGTCCCCTCTAAGGAAAGCGGCAGGCCTTAGAGGCAACAGTCTAATTTCAGTTGTCGTTTAGGTTTGCTTGGTATGTATGAAGCATTCACAAATAGGAGAGATACAGTATTTGAAAATACTCATTTTTTAAAATTCTTAACAGGAGTACATGCTTATTTTAGAAAATTGGGAAAATATTGGAAAGTGCAAAATGAAGAATTTTAATAATCACTTAAATCAGACCACTCTGACAAAGCCACTAATGGACTTGGGTTTATTTTCTTTTAGCCAGTTTTTTTCTAGGTATCTATTGATTTTGCACCACAAAATTCAGATTGTATTGTTGTGTATTCTTGACTTTTCTACTTAATTTTATTGAGCATTTTTTTCATATCATAATACTGTCTTTTCAAAAAAAATGTTTAGCCAGAGTATTCTATCAGATGGATGTACCAAACCCTGATTGTGGCCACAGGTTGCTTCCAATTTTTCTGTTACTTCGCCAGCACTATTCATTCATGTTTATGCCTTCATTATTTCTTTCATGTTGATTCCTAGTAGAGAATAGGAAAATGAAATGAAAACAGGCGCCTATTTTTAAGTCTTTTGACCTTTAGCAGAGTCTAATCCGTTTATGTGATTTGGCAAATGGAAACATTAGCATTCCTCCTGCTTTCAAAGACCCCTGGGTGCGTGTGCTCCACCGACAGTACTCTCGTTGGTCTGCAGACCTGTCCCTGCTAGTGGTGTGGCTGTCCCATTGCCTCAAGAATAGTCTTGACTTCCAGGGCTGCTCCTAATGCCATAGACGCCATGTCTTTGCTTTAGGAGTGAAAGTCTTAAAGGGAAGCCATGCCAATATCACTTCCTCCCAGTGTCCTCAGGGTCAGAAATAGTTACATTTTGCAAGAGGTGTGAACATGATACTATAATTATGGAACGCATTGATAACAACACTATGTACAACATCCCAATTACAGTCACATACTGTTGATGGTAATGGAAATAATGTACTAGTAACAGGGAGCTCAGAAAATAAGAAGTCAGGAGCAACGCGGTGGCAAATCGTTTATCATCCCTTTCAAGAGCATTTATCAGTAGGTACCATGCTTTAGTGATTGTTTGCCTCCTGTTGTTTGTACGAGATGCTGAATTTGATGAGCTAACTCAGGCCTGAAATGTGATTTAGCAGCTCGTTTTAGGAGGGGGAATAGCATGGTTATCAGTGCATGGACAATTATGTCTGTGGAAACACAGAGGCCACCAGGGGTAACTGTCTTAGAGCCAAATGATCTGTCCCTGCATCTGCCAGTTGCCTGGCACCAAACTTGAATGGTTCTCATTTCCAAGTCGTGCTGGCCATTTGTGTCTGCTAATAGCTCAGCTTCGTTCTCTTTTTTGCTGCATCAGTTTTCGAAGTGAGTGTGTCGGACGGTGATAATACCCTTACTCAAGTTGCTTTCACTGGGACCCTCCAAGAACACCCTCTCAATTCCATCACAAATCGAGAATGTGGTCACCTAGAAGCCTTGTGTACTTAGCTGACGACATTTCCATTTAGCATTTAAGGCAGCCGAAGTAGAGAAAATGTATCACTAGTTCTGAAATAAAGATGGGATTCTTTCTTTAAAATGTTTCTTTATTTGCAGTTTCCTAACTCATCTAAGGGTCCTTCATGGTGACGGAAAAAAAAAAAGAATGAAAGCACATTTTAAAATTACAAATACCAGAAGAGGCCCCTATGTACTTCTAGGAGCATTAACTTTTGCTGGTATTGTTGAGTGAGAGTGATGGGAAAAGTGAAGAGTTGAAGGAGAGGGAGAGGACCCACCTTTCAAAGCAGAACCATCTCCAGCTGTGGCTGCTGCAGTGACGCCATCAGCTGGTAGAGCCACCGGCCCCAGCTTGCCTCGTCTGAATGCACGACTCCAAGGCTGTTGGGAAGGGAAGGAAAAGCACCCCTCCACCAGTACCTTTTATAACTTACTGGCTGTGTGTCATGTCCGTTAGTCTGCCAGGTGATTTTGCAAAAACTGACCGCCAGAGACTTTATGGGGGTGCATTTTGGGGGTTCAACTGCATTTATGTTGTATTGTTTTAATCTGGGGAGGAGGCAGAAGGGGGTTTCTGTCATTTTTGCTGAATCTGAGAAGCAATCTAGCTCTAGCAGGTGGACCACAGTGTATGACTTGAAGCATTTGCGTTGACTCAGTGGCTGTTAGTCTCACGTCCTGATGTCAAGAGAGAGAATGAAGCAGTGATTTATATTTCAGTCTGTTTTCTCACTTATTGAGTGATGTAATCTAGCTTTCTTTACAAATTTACAGATGCTGCCTTTTCCTGAAGCGTCTTGACAGTTTCCTCTGTAGATATCAATAGAGCCATTTTGTGTTACTTTAGCCTTTTGGGTCCCAACTAGCAGAGACTCTGATTCGGCAGATCTGGGGTGGGGACCAAGAATCTGCTTTGCTAACAAGGTGATGTTGATGCCACTGCTCTTGGGACCACGTTGTGAGAACCAGTTTTAGGCCATCAGGATTTCCATGTGGTACAAATTTGTGGCCATGAACAAACTACCACAGTGAATGAACAGATTTCTTCCAGGGAAATATCTATTTGAGTCAAGTGTATGTCATGACTGACCATTTATAACTGCTCCCTTTAAAAATAGTGTGACTTAAAATGTTCCGTATTTAGGGCTGTTGGACTCACACACACATGTATGCGTATAGTAGTTTATGTGTTGATAAGATTGTCCATCAAGATATGTATTGTAAATGAATGGTTTGTCTCATCTGGACAGTAATGTTTTTGGACATGCACAGAGAAATGATGAAAAAGAATAAATAGAAATGCCAGGAGAAAATGAAATGTCAGCTGCGAGGAAACAGAATATTGAAAGCTAGACAGCTCAGATGTATCTGAAAAGGTTTCTCCCAGACACATATATTGTAATAATAGAGAGTGGTCCATCTAAATTTTATTTTAATATTTAAAAAATATTTAATGGGTCATTCTATATTTAACAGATAGGTTTATGTCCCCAGTTGGCTATTTTTATCATAAGCTTTATGGGGAGGAAAAGCATTTGTATTAATCCCACCCAGAAGCTCAAAATGTGATGATTGCAATGTTCCTCATCTCTGATGGATTTGTGTTCCTCATCACAGCGATGATTCTCTTGAGTGTGTCCTGGGATTGGAAACAGAAATCGGTCAGGCCTACAGAGCCCTCTAATGGCCCAAACCTTAAATACATCTCAGAATCTTTGGGAAATATCCTTACCTGCTTACCGGAAGATGCTTGAGTGTCAAGCTCAAAGAGCTGTATACAGAAATGGACCTGCCAAAGGATGAACCCATCCTTCTCTATTTTTCCCTCCCAGACACCTAATAGACATCCCGTGTGTATACGTGTGTGTGTTTTCCTGCATTATTCTTTTAAAACCGCATTTTCCTTCTATTCCTATAAGATGCTGGGAAAAGGGGGTCCTTGGTCATATGAGGCTGGGAGGGGCTGCATCCCCTTTTGCTTTTTCATAGTTCATGTCAGCATGTTCAAATCTCTGAGAAATTCTGCAGCAAAAGCCCTATTTGTTTAAATCAGAGTTTCCCAGACAATCTCCCCTTCCCCAAAAAGCCCTGTTCCTGGGAAATGGATGTTTGGTAAGACATTTTAAAAAGGAGGATTTAAAAGCTATTGTGTCCCTGGAAACTAAATTTGTGGCATAGGAATAAGATTTTAACAGGAGAGCAAGACGAAAAAAGCCATCATTTATATACACATAGATATGTATACGTGCAAGGTTGTTTCTTTTCTCTTCCAGGAATGTTTTGAGTTGCTTTCTAGTTTCGCTTGAAGATTTAACTTTAATTCAGATGTTCATGCTTCCCTCTCACCAGGGCTTTCCTTAGGGATTGTGGCCCTGAGCAAATTTTTTTGGAGGTCTCTGTCCACCTAAACAGTTTGAGTCACTTGACATGAGCATGTTAGCAACATCTTGGTGGCAAGTCTCATGAGATTCCATAAATGAAATGCCATGCCAGCCAGAGGGGCAAACTGCTCACCAGCCACCTTGTCGGAAGCAAGCCTGGCCACCACGGTCCCAACAACCTGGTGGATGTGACCCCCAGAGTTCCTGGGGCATGTGATGGACCCTCCATATGGAGTAGGGTCGGGGAGTGCTCCAAAGAGGAGAGATGGGGCCAGGCCCAAGCAGATTGTAGTGCAGACTCGGGGTGCCCTGACCACTGGCACTGCCAGCCACAGCTGGTCCCCACAACCAGAGGAGGATTTAGAAAATTTCAAGCAAGGTGCTCAAAAGTGGAGGAGCCTCCTTTGGTGTAAGGTCTGGGGCAGCGTCTGTGCTTGCCCATCTTCCTGTCAAGTGGCAGAAGGGAGAAAAGATGGCCTGTTTGGGGATTTTTCTCATAGCGGATACCCCCAACTATTTTGCCTCAATCTTTTTCCCAACAATGATGTTGCAGTTTTTCTCTCTCTGATAGAGCTTTCCCATTTACAAATCCAGAGGGATTATCTTTTGAACACCCAAGCTTATTCCTCCAAGCCTTTCTCATGGCTTCTGTTGGGGGTGCCTGCTGTGCTGGAAGGGGAGACATCAGCACAGCCTTTAAATCCTGTGTCTGTCGGGATCCATTTAGCACCATTAACTATGCTACTTTTATATTTCTGTTTTGCAGCCAAGTACTGCATCTTACATTTTAAGTTCATGAAATCATCCTCTTTTTCCTAGCCAATCAGACTGAAATAGGTTTTCAACTTGGAAAATAAGGTCATCAAATGGCCCCTTTTTCTCTCCACAATCCTGATGAGGCCAGCCTGCAATTATGCGCATATGCGCTGCTCATTCCTGGGTATCTGTAACCTGGTTTTAAATACCACCATGGCTTTTCTTTTTAATGTAGCATCTTTCTAGACCAGCTGCTTCTTCTTTCAGTTG